TCCTGTAGCTAAAATATACTATATATAGATGTTAATTTACTGAAATAAAGTATGTGTAACAGTTACATTCTTCTTTGGCTATTAACCATTGGATGCAAAACGATTCTGAAAGGAATAACCTCACAAACTAGTACCTAACTAATTTAGTTACTTCGTCACTCTCCTGACGGTAACGAAGTACCGAAAATGTTTTTTAATGAAAAAGGCATGCTCAACTTCTTTTTGATATTCTCTATCGTTCTAACATATAAATCATGATATGAACAGGTGACGCAGCGTCACCTTGTCTCCTTTTAGTCGAAAACAAGTGAGCTATTCTTGATCTTACTTCTCCATTGGCAAAAATATTAGACGAAAGGAACAGAAGGATATCTCGATGTCTCCCAAACATGTTTTATATACGAAGGTCAAAGAAAAACGTAAGAGAAACTGATCGAGTTTTATATGGTTCGATCCAACGTGTTTTCTAGATTATGAATGTCAACTTTATTTTGCAATTTAATGAGCAAAGTTTGCTCATTAAAAAGAAAAAGCGGCCTGTCCAAGTAACGGTAGATTTTTTTGCGGGTATCGAAGTTTGTTTTTAAGTAAAATAAAGGCCACTACTTTGTAGAGCGTCTTCGATTATATATGAAAATATGTTTCTTAATTCCTTATGTGCTACATTTCTATGGAAACTTCGGTTTTTAAAAAGATGTCACTCAAAAATAGAAACGTGACGCCGATAACGGCTATTTTCTTTTCGTTTTTCCTTTGCCAAAAACAAATCTGTTTTTTAATTCGAACATATCATCTGAAAGCCCGTCGAACAGGCTCAGTAGTTATGAAAAAATGAAAAGTTTACATCGGTAACTGACTAACTTATTTCCTTTCGTAATGCACATACTCGCGTAAGCGTGATTCCGTGACGAAATATCGGTATAGTTCAGTTTTGATCGACAAGTACCCACCTTTAGAATTCGAGAAGTATATCACTAAATCCAGTTTTTGACGCTGTTTCGAATGTACTAATCAGTTTTGTCATAAATCTTTAGGGTGGGTCTGCAGGAGCGTCACAGAATCACCAACATATGCTGAGGTTTTTTTTACTGAAATGTGAATCGTCATTTCCTCGTAATCATACAGCCTTTAATATGCGCAGAAGTAGTTCTAAAGCCTAGTGCAACCTCAAGGTCAACTTTTCGTGTGCATTTCTGCTCTTTTATTGATTACCAAAGATATTATCCTTAGAAACCATTCTGATTGTTCTGGTCTAACTCCATTCTGTCTGATTTCAATGCTCTTGTCTTGCAAATATACGTGACTGCACAGTCGGGGCATGAAATATATTTTTCTGTCAGTGGCTCGTTGCAAGGTGGCTTTTTTAATGACATTCGAACTTTTTAAAACAAGAACAGTACTTGAAAAAATGTCATTGAATTTACTTGGTATACGACGAAAGAACCGAAATATGTTTTTCGACTTTGATCTTTAAGCTGACTATATGAACAAAAGATGTGTTTCTCGTGAAGTGTGCTTAAAAGTGTCATTTGTCATCATCTTTTATTAGAAGGAAGAGTTTCTGTATTTATAGTCTACACAATAATAATAGGAAGAGAGAAAAGGAAAGAAAAAATGTTATCATTTTTCAAAACGTGATTCCGTGACGACGATTTTCTCCATCCATACAGTTGAACTTCAAGTTTTTTCGAATTTTCTTTTCTTTAGTCAATAGCCCGTTATCCGAGCTATTTTTCCCATCGTAAATTTTATGTGAGAAGGAGAGAAGATTACATAACCCTTTGCTTTCTTTTTCTGTTTAATTATTGATTAATAAAAGTAATTTGGTCATACTAGGGAAAAGTGCTTTTTTATATCAAGATTTATATGTTAACACGATAGAGAATATCGAAAAGAAGTTGATATGGCTTTATTCTAAAAGAAATTTCGTAACTTCGTTACTTTCTTGAGAGTAACGAAGTAACTAGATTAGTTACTTAGTTACTTAGCTAATAGTAACTACATTAGTTACTTCTTTACTAGTAATGAGTAACTAAGTTCACTACTTTACCAGATAAAGTAACGCCGAGTAACTAGTAAAGTGCCATCCCTACTTGTGAAAGTTGTGCAGTGTTCGCCGTAGATGTCTGATAAGTAGATATCTATAACTAGTACTCTTTTTAAAAGAAAATGATTGCTTACGAAATCTTTTTCTTATTGAGCTTTCAAATTCGTTCCAAATGTCGAAATCTTTTGGTCTAAGAAACTTAAAATGACTGGAGAAAACTCGTCGAACCCCCGAATCGTTCTGTAATGACCTATGAAATCTTGAATAGTTTTATCAATTGACAATCAACAAAACTCGAAGGTGCTCGAAAATCTATGTTTTGATAAGCTGATTTTCCAAAGTTCTCGGAAATTTGAAAAATTTAACTAATTTTATTCTTATTCGGCATTGAAAACTAAACCAAAAAATGGTCCGCGACCAATCACAGACCCAAGCCACTTCCAACTAAGAACGTCGGGAAAAAAACGGCCAAAAATCGGTTCTCATTTTTCAAAACCTATCTCCACCTAGAGATTGAGAGCTAGACACTTGATTCATTCGTGGTGAGATTCCCTGAGTGCTCCTCTTCAAAACAACAAAGAGCTTTTTTAAATTCCTTTTGCTCGCAGAGAAAAGTCGACTTTACTGAGAGAAATCGAAATTCTGACACTAATTCAAAGTTTTATCCATCAGAACTCAATTTTCACGCAATGAAAACATCATATTTGCAAGCAGTGTCGAAAATCGAGTCGAATGATGTACTTTTTTTATCTTATTCGATCACTTGAATTTTTCATGAACTCGGAACTGAGATTGTCATAAAAAATGAAAATCAACGAAAAAATTTGAAATATATATCATTCGACTCGATTTTTGGCGCTGATCGCGAATATAATATTTTCATTGCATGAAAGTTGAGTTATGATGGAGAAAATTGCGAATTAGTGTCAGAATTTCGATTTCTCCCAGTAAAGTCGACTTTTCCCACTGAGGAAAGGGAATTTAAAAAAAGCTCTTTTAGTTTTCAAAGTAGACTTTAAAAAATCAACTTTCAAAACAGAGCGAAAGTCAGGGTTTCGAGTTTTGTCGACCAGAAAAAAAATCGAGGGAACAGATATTCGTGATCCTCAACCTCTGATGAGCGAACCGCCCCAGGTGCTCAACTCCGATTTCCGTCATTCCCACCTCGTTTTATAGAGCACATCGAGCTGGTAAAAAGCCTAAAATGATTTTCACCCATGGCTCTTGAAGTCTCGGTTTTCTGCAAAACCAGTTTTTGAGAAATTCTAAAAAATAATCGAAACTTTTCATAATGAGGCATGATTGTAGTCCGCACATTTCTGATTAAAATGAGACGTCTTCCAGCTCTTCATGTCCTTTCTTTACAAAGTTACAGAATTTACAAGAAAAGTCCTAAATTAATTTCTTCTAATTTCTACAGCTTTGAGCTGACAATAAACACTTAGGGCTGTTCTTGTAAATTCTGTAACTTTGTAAAGAAAGGTCGTGTAGAGCTGAAAGACGTCTCATTTTAATCAGAAATGTGTGGGCTACAATTATGCCTCATTATGAAAGGTTTTGATTATTTTTTTAGAATTTCTCAAAAACTGGTTTTGCAGAAAACCGAGACTTCAAGAGCCATGGGTGAAAATCATTTTAGGCTTTTTACCAGCTCGATGTGCTCTATAAAACGAGGTAGGAATGAAGGAAATCGGAGTTGGGCACCTGGGGCGGTTCCCTCGTGATTTATCCGAATATGTGATAAAAAAAGGAAAAAAAACTCCATCACTCCTCTGGGCTAGGCGCATCTTAAGAAAAATTCAGATTCCTCATGGTACGACTGATTCAAATAAAGGCTAAGTTTTCCGCAACCACTCTTTGCAAGAAATTTCGATGAAAGTTTCATTAGTTCATGAAAATATTTGGAAACAAAATGAAGTACAGAGGATGAAAACGTTGAAAGTGCTATAATTCAATTCATAAAAAAACGTTAGGTTGTAGAAAGTAAATGATAATATTTAAGATTTTTATGTCATTTTAGGTATTAAGTGTATTTCGTTTTGTTCATATTCTCTCGAATGTGATGTGCTGTTGCGCGAAAAACAACAGGCATTCGTGGCGTCACTACATTTACAATATCGAAAATGTTGTTTTCTAAAGCTTCTTCTGTAAATTTTCGACAATAACTGATTAAAAAAGCCATTAAGTTCTTGTAAAAAATCTTTTTATTATTTTCATTTATATAAGTATGAAACTTTGAATTGCGTCGACAAATGTATGTAATACACACGCAAAGCAATAAAATGAGTTTATAAAAATGAATTCGATGCAGAAGAAAAAAAAAAGAAGTTCATCTGAACGAGAGAAAAATGACGTCAGAATAACATCGATGTGTATATTTGATTATGCACTCTATAATAAAAAATGAGAAGAAAAGAAATTAAACGAATTTCTATTTATTCAACGCGTATAGTAATGATGCGTTTGCTTTCCTTATGGACAGTCGCTGACGACGGAACGTTCTCAAGTGTATACCTCCGATTTCAACGGTTTAGATATATCAATCGATCAGTGGCGGATCAAAATTATTCTTTGATATACGATAAAAGTGCGAGATACGTGCGATCGTCATAGAAAAAAATTATTCTAAGAAAGTTCTGCTAGGACAAAACAGTTTGTTGGTTAAAAGGTACGATGGCTGCTCGAGGGCTGGATCCGCCACTACAATCGATAGAGCATAGTGAGTGATTTTTATTTCCCGGTGCATTGTGCAAAGAATGTGAAATTCGCTATACTACATCTAGCATCTACATCTACATTTCTTATTAGTATGAAATCAACTTGTATATACTAAGAATTTCTAATTAAGCTTGTCTTATTTATGTTTTCGTTTTGTTACATAGAGTAAAAACATTATTTTATTTGTTTTTCCTCTCATTAATAAAAATTCAGTACCTGAAAAAGGGTATTAACTAGAGGAGCAAAACTTGCTATAGTATTGAAGAACAGTTAGCTTCGTAACAGGAGTAAATTTCAGGTCAAAATTTGCTATTTTAACAAATTTATGAATTTTAGTAAAACACGCTGCACAGTGAAATAAAAAAAATCTATAACTTTTGAATGAACCAATATGGGTCGATGACCTTTAGAGTTTTTACCAGCTCACGATGCTCTATTGATTGCAGAGATGGGCGAGTCCGAGTCACGATTCGAGTAGCATTTTTCTGTGACCCGGACTTGAACTCGGACTCGAGGCGAAGACTCGATAAACTGGCTCGAATCACTTTCGAGTCAGTCATGTGCAACTTGGGGTTGTTATGACGGTATTTTTTATATTTGTTATATACCAGAAGAGAAAGAAATTTGAGAATATTCTAAGTAGAACACTGCGTTACATGAGAGGATTGAAGATCTGTTCTTGGCAAAATGAATCAGGAGGAAGTTTTCCTCTAGAAAATGAATCGAAGTGACTCGAGTCAATTTTTGATGCGACTCGGACTCGGATCTCGATTCGAAGGCTATTGACTCGGACTCGACTCAGACTCGAAAAAGTGGTGACTCGCCCGTCTCTGATCGATTGACATAAACCGTTGTAATCGAAGGTGTACACCTGAGAACGCTCCCTCCTAAATTGTCCATGTGTTGTTGCAATAAGCAACGTGATTCAAAATAGAATGCAAAAGATCATCTTGCCACTACAAATGATTATCTCATTTGCAGAACAGTTTATCTACAACATTCACATTGTGGATATAAATCGATCAGTATAGTTCAAGGTAATTCTAACGATATCAACTATCAGTAAGTATTTGACACATTGTAGTTATCAATTATTGTACTTTTCTGAATATTATTCACACGTGATTGAAATATTTTTGCATTATATTTTGGATCGTATTTCTTCTTGCAATAACGCCTTAGTGAGTGTCCATAGAAAAAGGCAAACACATCGTTACTATATACACTTTGATAATAAATAGAAAGTTGTTGAATTTTTTTTTCTTTTCATTCCTTATTATAGAGTGCATAATCAAACATATACATCAATGTTATTCTGACGGCGTTTTTTCTATCGTTCAGATAAACGGTTTTTTTTTCATTTTTTCTGACATCAAATTCATTTTTACTAAAATAAACTCATTTTTTTATAATTGTCATCTATTCAAGTGTGTAATTCAACATAACTATATTTTTAAGAAAAATTTAGACGAAAATGGACTTTCCTTTATATTTATTGATTCTTCTCGAGGTACACGCATGTTATGCAGCAACATATCGTTCATCAGGTACTACAACGTTGTCGACGGGTGCGATCATAGGTATTGCTGTTGGTACTGTTGGCGGCATAATCTTAATCATAGTTGGCAGTATCTACTTGGGCAAACTCTGTCGACTTTGCTCCCCTCAACCAGCTGTAAATCCAATGATGGCCGGTGCCTTTTATCTTCGACAGCAAGGTCGACCACCGCAGGTGCTCGATCCAAGAGTTCCGAATTCAGGACAACAATTCTCAGGACAAATACCCTTCCTACAACAACAACAAGTTTTACAGCCACAGTCACAGCAACAATATATTCCACAAAATAAATTGATGACACCTATTTATAATTAGAAAACATTTCATGTACTGCTTTTTATAAATAAATTTCTATTCTCCGATAAAATGTATAGTTAAGTAATGATCATATAATGAAAAAGAAAAGATTTTAGAGATCGGGCTATTGTCAAGCAAGAGTAACGGTACCTTACAAAAATTCGTCCACCAATATTTTTCAAAATTTTCTGCATAAAGTGGAAGAACATTTTCATAATGACTAAACCCACTTTGATTTCTTTGTTATAAAATGATTGGTATGTCATAGGAAGCCACGACAGGTTGGACTGTTCACCATCACTACCCATATCGTAATTAATTAGTTTCATTTGCAGAAGAAATATGTTTCTAATAAACGATAGATCAGTCAAAATAGAGAATTTAAAGTACCTTTGAAATATGTAAGAAACGTATATATCGAAGAAAAGTATTTAGTAAGAAAACGTTTTATGAAATACTTTGATATGAGCGATAAAGCGTTATCATTGATCACCATGTTGCTCAGTTTTCGAAATAATCGAAGTACTTTCGCACTTCAATTCTTTTTCCAAATGATAGTACTTTGTGTTAGCTTTTTTCAGAGTGTGTACACTTTATTGATAGGAACTTGCTTGACAATGAGAACAATGCAAAAAAACAGCAAATTTTTAGTTTAAATTGAAATCTAACCTGTTAAAAATCAATATAATATTTATGATCAGTATGAAAAATTGTATCAGAATATATGTTATCCAAAGTTACAGAACAACATAAATTTTCATCCAGAATTTTGTATTTATTCCTTTTTGGGCGTTTGTTGTTGGAATTGCGGTCGAAATGTGGTTCTGATTGCCAAGGACTGTCCTCCAACTCAGTAAACTGTAATTATTCTGAAACCAAAAAATACTGTGTTCTGGTAAAAGAATTGAAATAAGAAGTTCTATCATTTCGACGAGATAGATATAGTTACCAGGGGTGCTAACTAAAAGGGCAGTAAAGGGGACAAACTACGAGAAAAATAAGAGTGTGAATTTTTTTCTACAAAGAGGAACAAAATACATTCTTTTTCATACATTATCATCGAGAAATTAAAGGAACATCAATATATTCTCTTTTCTATCAAATATTTCTATTATTCATTGGTCTTCCAGTATCACTATGTCAAAACATAAAATTAATACGACTATCTTTTGTCACACAAAAAGCGCTAAATGATCACTTCAGACGTTATTTTTTACTAATGTGTTCATATTTTCACTTCCACGAATGCTCTTACTAGGAAAGTCTATGTTATTCAAAATCATAGATCATAGATTATAATCATGAAAATTATTGCACATTAAATTAATCATAAATTAATCATACACAAGCGTTATATAATAAAGATCGGCACGGGCCGAAGGCTTATGGTCCGGACGAACCCGATCAAATAAACTTGAGGCCTGAGTTCGGCTCGACCGGTCTTAAAAGTTTTCTAGTCGGATCAAACCCGACCCAAAGACGAAAAGTTGAGGTCACAGGTCGGCCCGACCCTTTTCAAGTGTTTACGGCCTACTGCATCCTTAATACTGATAGCTTTGGTTGACAAATTGGTATAAATATGCTTGTAACATAATACTATCATTTATATTTACATGATTTTTTGTTCTTCCTTCTTCAGTGTTTGTATGCACTTAGACATGCACCAATACAATATATTGGGTCCCAATAATATTGGTTACCCCTATATATTGGGGTTTCACAATATTATTCGGTGTTGGGTCGCTTGAGTTCTGCCTACTTTCACAGTACAGACGCATGCTTTATACCCCGTTTTGAATCAAAATATAACCCAATTAGGTTATACCCACTGATTAATAATCAATATTAGGGCATTCAGCAAAGTCGCTCTGAATCAGTTATAAAGAAGCATATCTCATTTTGTAGAAAAATGTTTGCTCTACCAAACTGAAGTGTAAACAGACATTTTAGTTTATCTGTGACAGAAATATAAGCATCCAAAACTGAGCAAAATTGCAAACATATCAAAATTTGATGATTTTTTTCTAGAGAAGCGGTATTTGAGATTTTTACATATTTGGAATCAGCATGATGAGTTACGTTGCACGGCGCAAAGATCTCGTCGGGGTACACGCAAAAATGGGGTCTTAGGAGTCCCACTTAGAATACTACTGTATTCAACGGTATAGTTCATCGTTCAACTTCAAGCAGACCGCATTTTATTCGTTCTGCTTGTAGTGTAATTTTTCTTTCTGTCTCATTTTTCCCCTTTTCTACGCATATATAGAGACAGATATAGAAAGCAAGAAAGTGAAAAGTGAAAAAATTCTTTTCATAAAAATGCTCACTGCAATCAGTATGAACTTACTCTATATTCTGTCAACTTGACAGATTAAAAAGTTAACAAATTTGGATGTACCCCTCTCCGTTTTCTACGTCCGTTTGAACTACACAAGTTGTGCTCTATGCCGAACTATTTTTTAGAAAAGGGTACAGTCTAATTTTTGAGATACCCACTCTTTCATACGTTCA